CCCCCCTCCCATTCTCTCTGTCTGTGCAGCTCTGGGCCTCAGTCTGCTCGCTGTATTCAGGCCGTGCCAGCTGGCCAGGACCCCAGCTCAGCTCAGCTCCCAGCCTGGTGAGAAAGAGGATCAGAGCCAGTCGTCATACCCATAGGGTCTGCTCTGCATCACTGTACTCATCTCGGGGGGGGGGGGCTCATTATAGTCACCACAGACTTGCAGCGACAGTACTGCAATTAGGCACATGACTGGTTTTGTTTTCTGTGTGCCCTAAGTAAGAAGTAGCTTGTGTGTAAAGTGGAGCTGGGGGTTGCCTGTACAAGATGTACGATCCTGTACCACGGTCCTCAGTGTTTAAATAGAAGAGGCTTAGGTACAAGCCGAACGATACGATCGTTAGAGATTAAAAGACGCCGTAGGATTTCTGTGCCCTCAATGTTTTTTTTCCCTCTCTGATCTTTTACAAGGGGGCATCACGGTGACGCACTGGTTACTGGGCTGCCTCGCAGAGCTGCAGCCCTGGGTTCAACTCCAGACCTGGGGTGCTGTCCAGGTGGAGTTCGCACGGCCCCCCTGCGTTTGCGTGGGTCTCCCCCAGGTGCTCCGGTTTCCTCCCACCCTCCGGAGACAGAGGGGTAGGTTTACTGGCTCCTGGGAAAATCGCCCCTGGCGTGAGAGTGTCAGTCTGCCCTGCGATGGACAGGCGGTCCTGTCCAGGGTGTACCCTGCCTTGCGCCCATTGCTTGCTGGGATAGAGTCCGGCTCCTCCGTGGCGCTGTACTGAATTAGGAAACGGCTGGACAGATTGTCTACGCGGGGGCGCAGCGGCTCGGGGGCACTGAGCGCCATTGGAAGGGGGGAGGGGAAGCCTGGGACGCCATCGTCTGGGCGCTCGCGGGACTGGCGGCAGGACAGCCGCAGGGCGAACAGGGACGGGGGGGGGGACCGCGGGCTGCGAGGAGCCTTGGGGCAGGGAGGTGCTCCGACACGCAAGGAGCTCCAAGGAGCTCCAAGGAGCCGCGCGCGACCGGAATGCAGAGCCACCCCGGCAGGCGGCATACCAGTCAGTTCAGCGCCGCGGTGCCAAGTCCCGACACCCTCCTCCAGAGCCCGTGGCCCTTCCCTCGTGGTCGGGCACTGCTGGTGAAGCAGGTCGAGCTGCTGCTCTGAACTTGCGCTCTTGATCGCTGTGGCCGCGGCTAAATGTTACCGCAGCACCTTTCTGAATTCCACGGGGCAACCTGGAACGTAAACGCGGGGGGAATTCTCCTAAAATCCCCAAACCCATCTGTCCCTGAAGGTGGCTCGGCGAACCACAGGTCCCCATGAGAGGGGCTGTGACGGACAAATGGGTCGATCGCTATCCTAGGGTCATCTTGATGGGCTTTCTGTCCCTCTCGTCCGCACCAGGAGGGATCTGCAGTCCGTCCTGCCTCCAGTTCTCCATACCTACCAGACCCCCCCCCCAGGGAGTTTGACCTGGGACCCAGTACCTGTGAAATATAAAATGACCCCCCAACAGTCGATTGCATTTGCCTAGCAGCCTTCCCTCCTCCAGCGCGTCGCGGCGCCTGCCAATCGGGACAGGAGGTGCGTCCTCCAGCGAGTGAGGCGCAGGACCTGGCCTGGGAGACGCTGGGCCGCCATTCTGCTCCTTCAGCTCCACTCCACGGCGCAGTCAGACCAGACCGCACGAGCCCAGAGTGGAACTGGGGGAGGATGGTCGGGTCCGCACCCCCCCTCTTTCACAAACAGCGCTGTGAAGTCTTTTATCGACCAGCTAGCCTGCATGGAGGTTCGGGGTCTGCAAGGGGGGGGCCTGTCATACTGTAACGTGTCCCTGGTCACTGTTCAGGGTGCAACTGATTGGAGATTCCCGGTTTCAGGGGCAAAGAGCGGCGCCTACCTACTCCGAATTAACCGGTGGCCCTTCCAGCAGCTGCCCGAACCTGAATCCCGGGAGTGAGCAGATATCATCTTGAATAACTGCTGTCATCTGTGCTTTGTAAGGGGGCTAAAGTTCTGTTCACAAGCTGTATTCTCGTTCTCTTTTTAAACCTGCTACTGGTCTGTGTGTGTGGGGGGGGGGGTTAGATTATTGACCCACTTTTGCATGAAAGGAACTGGTCCAAAACCATACCCATCCTGAAAAAGACCGGGGGGGATGCTGAGTCATCGTGAGGTGGCAGTACTGGGTGTGCTGGCAGGAATCGGGATGATCAGTTTCTCTTTCTCCTCTCGTTTGTTTCATGTGATTCGTGTTGGGTTTGGCCCCAGTGACCTAGAGCACACTTATTCAGGAGGTGATGCCAAGCTCTGTTGACATCCATCAAAAAGATGATCTCATCTGTGGTTTTCAAAGACTGCTGACAGTTCCTTCAAAGCAGACAGTCATGCTGATAAAGGCTCGTCTCTCCTGCCAGTTTCCCGTTTTCCTGCCTAGAGATTCTTTTCGTCCTCAGCCTAATAACGCACCCCCAGATCAACGCTATGACATCGGTGCAGTGGATCACAGCACGCTCCTCACAGACCAGCAGGAGCTGCCAGCGAGAGCAGTGGCACGGTGTCGAATTCGAAATAAAACCACCGCTGAGGTTGAACTACTTTAACCTCTTATTTATTTGGCTCGAGTGAGAGTCTCATTCCTGGCACGACTTAAGACAACTAAAGACCGTGGAGTCGACACCTGCACACGAACGCCCACCCGGACACCACCCACGACAGCGCACGCTTCCCCCGCTCTCTGGGGGGGGAGGTTAAGTAACCGCCTGACTGACAGGAAGGGGTGACATTTCACTCGTGCGGTTCGCTCAGGGCCGGGCGTGTACTGTATGTAGCCTCGCTGGCACCTGCGCCAGAGCCGCCCCGCGGCTGCTCTCCGCAGCGAAGAACAACATCGTCCGATGCGTCTTCCAGACTTCTCATAGGCCAGGCGACCCGGGGCGCTCATGCAAATACACGGCCAGCTGGCGCCGGTGTTTCCCCTCCAAGGTTCCTCTGTATCTCTCCGTGCGACACGCAGAAGAGAAGAGAGCGGACAGGTGAAAACGTAAACACCCACCTAGCCGAACAAAACGGGCGTCGATAGGTTGCCGGGGTCGTTCTTGGCTGGAGTAGCGATCCCGCGTCGCGTTTTGATCAGGACATTGTAAAAAAGAGAAAAAAAGAGAGAGAGAGGGGAAGAACGGAACAGCAGCTCTTTTCTGTTCCAGTGAATAAATCTGGGCAGAGGTGGCAGCCACATGACAGCCGCTGATGAGGGCCCGGGCGCGCACTGGTATTTCTGCGGGGTTTGGGTGTTTTTTTCTTGGGGGGGAGCAGAGAGCGAGCACGCCGCGCGCGTGGGGGGGTGCGTGCTGCCGGAGGAGTCCCGCGTGGAAGCTGACCGAGCCGAGCGACGCGCTTGTGCAACCCGTGACCCGCTGGCCGGAGAGAGGGCAGCGAGCGTGAGCAGGGAGGGCTGTCTCTGTGCAGGAAGGTCCTCTTCTCACAACGCAGGCCTTTCCTGCAAAAGAGGAGGGGAAAGCGAGCCTAGGCATTTCCTGATAACGAGCAGACAGAAAGCACCTCTGCTTCAACCCTCTTATTGGCCACGTGAATCCCTCACGTATCGGTTTGAAACCTGGTCATATCGACGGATGAAACGTGCCATCACGCGAGATGAGTCACAGATGCCTCTAGAGCCAGGCGAGAAACACCCGTGTCTGTGATTCCCCGAGAGGACGTGAGGTGCCGTATCATCTACAGACATCAGTGAAATAACTTCTTTCTGAATGCGAAGAACGGCGCTTTTATGAGTTACTAGGGGGTTTTGCTGTAAATTTCAGTCACGTCATCGGCGAAAGGCGCTGTAGTGGCACCGTCTAGTTCCGCTGGGCTCTCTGGATGCTGTTGGTCAGTTCTCTCTGTGCGCCCCTGTGAGCCGAAGTCCGAGCGGACATGTTCTGAAAAATTGCCATTTTTTAACCTACGTGAAAGCAATCGCATTGCTGTCAGCAGAACTACAAATTGTATTAACTAGCTGTAGTGGGCGGTAGCACGAACACCAGCAGCGCTATGGGTAGAAGCAGAGGGTTCAGCAGTTTTACTGTGGTATATTGTTCAAGTTCCAATCCCGCGCACGAGCCCGACCCTTCGTCACCCGCGCGCCCGGGAGAGAGCCCTCGAGGGCCCGGCCTTGACCCCTCTGCAGCCCCGCCCGCCCTCGCGCACGCTCGAGGCTGGCCGGTGGCTGCGGGTGCGAGAGGAGAAACGCTCCACACCCTCCCTGAAACGAGGAGGAGAAAAAGTACACATTGGGGAAAAATACAAAAGGTCCTATTGAGCAGCCACCATCACCCTTGTGAGCTTTCGCCAGCTCAGAGACGAACGCAGAAAAAACAACAACAAAACAACTCATGTTGCACTACACTACACTAGAACCTTTCAACACGGAATTTTTCGAAGTCGTCTCAACTTCTCTCTTTTACATCCGTTCGAGTTTGTACCGGGCGTCGGATGTAGCTGGGAAAAGATACACAGGTTACGGTCAGCTTTCTGGAGTTGCGTGTTTTTTAAAAGCCCGTATTTGCATGGTGGGGGGCGTGTCCTGTGCACCTATTGGTCGCGGGAGGCAGCGCACAGTAAACAGCTCGGTCACGAGCGCCCGGCGCGCGGCGGCGGGGCTGGTGCTGCGAGACAGTTCGGCGCAACAAGCCGGAGAGACGCGGCGCCTCCGAGCTCTCGCACGCTCGCTCACTCGCTGTTGAGCGCCGAGCATCGAAAATAAAAGAAAAAAGAGCGAAGAAGCCGGAGAGGCAGTCGAGGAGGCGCAATGCTTCTTTGCCGGGGAGCAAGACTGCAGGTAGCGGTTCGAGACGCCGGCGCCCCGGGTCGGTGCTGGAAGTTCCCGGGAGCGGGGCAAGTCCGGAGGAGTCCCGCCTGCGCGTTGCACAACCAGCCCGGTGCAGCGTTCGCCCTGGGCGGCAGCGCGAACCCCGGCCCGGCGTCGGCACCGCCGCACGCAGAGGGGAGAGGAGACGCCAGAGTCTGGTTCCCAGCCCGCCGGACCTCCCCGGATTACAGCCCGTGCAGGGACACGGGACTGGCCGCCGGCGCGTGGCCCTGCGGGATTCGCCCCCCCAGTGGGAGAAGTCACCCGCCGTGGATGCCCCGGGGGTCCGGTGGGCTGGACAGAGCCGGCGCCGCCGAGCAGATGCTCTTCCCGACGGGGAGGCGTTTCTATCTGCGCTCTCCCGCAGGCAGGGCGCAGCTGAAAGCCGACTCTCCCGCAGTAGCCGCCCAGAAACTCGCGGCCGGAGCCGTGGAGACCAGCTCGGCACCGAAATGCGAGGTAATTGTGAGTTTCCCTACTGGGGGGGGGACGACTTTCGTAGAAGTTCTCCCTGTCTGTGCGCACCTGGGTTTGATGTCAGCCGGCGCACGTGGGCTGGCCCTGTGTCGGGATGGGTGGCTCGGGTTTCATTTCCAATAATAAAACGGTTATATAAACGAGCCCCCCCCTCTCAAGGATAAGAGACGTATCAGACCCGATGAAGCTGTAGCTGTAGTTTTCTTTCTGCGCGGTGTGTGTGTGTGTGGCGTGTTCCCCAGACCCGGTGTAAACTCATCGCCAAGAAGTCAATTTCGTATCAAGCGGACTTCGCCCTTTTCCAAAAGTAGGGTACAAGTTCACGGGCATACTGTTGTCGTCTCCCGTGGCTGCAACGCAGGTGGTGTTAACAGGAACCAGGGGACACCGCGTCGCTCACCGGCGTGTGTGTGTCTGTCTGTTACCCTCCCTGTTCCTGGGGGGAGGTCCACCCCCTGGGGACCACCGGGGCTCTGCATGTTCGTTGCGCTGGTGGCTTATCTCGGCTCTGAAGTGTGCTGTGCGCCGGCCCTCGCCTGTTATCTCCCTCGATACAGCCCCCTGACACCCAGAGACTCCCCTCCGCAGGGGCGACACCGCCCGCTCCGCTGCTCCTCGCCGCCTACGAGGAATAATGCAGTAGCAGCGGCGAGGGTTGTGTGGGGGGTGTGTTGGTTTTTTTCTGTGTATAGATATATATCGCTCGCTTTCGTGACCTTTCACTCTGATCTGGAAACGCGGCGCTGCTTTGAAGTACGAACTTTCCCAAGAAGCGCAGAAAGCGAGGCTCGGGTGTCTCGTGTGCCACGTGAGATAAATGAGATGGACTGGGCTTAGGAGCTCTTGTGTTGAGGATGATGATGATAAAGAGCTGTGTTTTGTCTGATTTAGAGAACCAAAAATAAGACGGTAAGACAAAGGAACCGTATGATCCAGAAAAAGTTTAATTCCTGTGTTTTATTCCACTTTAAGATACCGCCAGGTGACTTTTCAGCTTCTGTTTGCCATTGTGTGTTTTTTTTTTACCTCATTTACATAAATTTCCCCTAGATTGGCACTCATTTTAATGAATGCCTCCGCCCGGGCTGCGTAGGTAGAATCTTTCCCTGAAGAGGAGACGGGTGACACACATCCTGATCCGCGCATTTAGTCTCGGTGAGCGGTTCTGTAAATCGAGCCCTGCTTCTCCTCCCGCTGTCTCCCGAATCAACCCCCCCCTGTCAGTGACCTGCCCTTGCGTGTGGAGACTCTCGAGTAAAGAGAATTTGTGAGTGTGCCTGCAGGTGGAGAGGACTGTTGTGTTGTGTGATTCGGCCTTCATGGACACTCCTGTAAGGCAACAGTCCTGTCCATGGCCAGAGGGAGCTCTGCCCCCCCTCTCCTCCGGGCCCAGCGAATTATCCCACTCGGCAGACAGGAGTTCGTAGTTCCTCGCGCTAGGCTCGGCTGGTGGTGGCTTTTGCCGGATTAAGAGGTCACGTTTTTGCTAAAAATAGCGCGGGCCATAATGCAGAGTTATTTCCTGTGCTGTGTCAGACTGCGTCCTTTTATTTCCTTTTCTTTTTTTTCTTGCAAGTATGCACAGCTTCTTCCTGGCTTTCTGCTCCTTCCTGTTTCCTGGAGTGGGGCTCTGTCCTGCCACCTGAGGCTGGGCGCGCACAAGCAGCGCTGTGTCCCCCCCAGTGGGGTCTGCGTTCTCCCGTGTACTAACACCGGCTCTTCTGGGGCGGTGGCGATGGGGGTTTTGGTCGTGGCTCCTTTGCAGAATGTGAACTGTTTGAATATGCGGGCAGTAGTGAAATGTGAGGTCCTGACACTGCAGTTCTGTGTTCATGTGTGGCTTGTTGTTGTAACAGTGAAACTGTCACTTCCATGCAAATCGTTGGTATCCATGAGCCGCCAGCCCTGAAGGAGCCCGGAGCAGGCGAGGGCTTTGTGTTGAAGTAAGAGCTGGTCTGTCCAGCACGCTGCCGAGCAGTCAGAGCAGCCTGCTGGCACAATTAGATCTGGTGACCCTGCCTGCCAGCTGCTGGGAGGACTCCTTTTTCACAGTGCTCACTCTTAAGACTCAGAGAGCTTTGCTTCTGTGTGTTTTTTTCTTTCAAGAGGAACGGAATAGCAGAAGCCATCACCTTAATTGCTCAGCACAGTCGCCCAGCAGTGTAGCTTGAATTCCAGCCCTAAACCAGGCCTCTGCTGTCTGCAAAGGAACAAGTAATAGGTTTATTCCATGCTGAAAAAAAGAAGAAAGAGAACACAACGTTTCGGCCGTGGAGCCTTCTTCAGGTGTGGTGCTGTCTCTGCTGTCTGTGCTTTACAGAATGACATTACAGAATGTTTGAGGGGCCATCATTCCAGGTGGAAAGTGCCTCTGGAGGTCTGTGACACTAAGTGAAGAGCTCGGGACCTCAGCACGTGTGAAAAGCTTTGTGTTTGTGTTCGTTCTTGAAGAAAGGAAAGGTTCCCTGCATGCTGTAGGGTGCGCAGCTTGCGTTTTGAAAGAAATGAAAAGCTGACTTTCCTGTTGAAGTCTTTGAAGTCTCGTGCAGGTGTGTAGGAGACGGGCTGCTCTTGTCTTGACTCGGTTCTCCTACGCACATGTGGCAGACTCAGAAGTGTGGGGATGTGTCAAACGTTCGCCCCCGGTCAATGTGGCAGCGGCGCGGATACTGACAACTACGCCTCTCTCAGCCCCCAGGGGGCGTCCCAAGCCCGGAGCAGTCCCAGGACGGGCGGATCAGCAAAACCCAGCAGCTCAGGAAGGTGTTCAAGGAGTACGGCGCGGTGGGGGTGACGTTCCACGTGGGGATCTCGCTCGTGTCCCTCGGGATGTTCTACCTGGCCATCTCAAGGTGAGTCAGCCCGCGAGCCCGGGGGGGATACGAGCCGCCTGTCGCCAATCGGGTCCTACCGCTGGAACCGAAACGCTGAAGTGTGCAGAAGTTTGACTTTCATCTCGGTCGCGGCAGGCTTACTCGGATTAGAGTTGCAAGCACTGGCAACTTCTTGGCTTGTGTAAAAAAAAAAAAAAAAAGAAGCTGCACCTTAAAAGCGCTGAACAGGATCGCTCCGTTACTTTCACTGCGTGTGGATGTCCAACTTGGGGGGGGGGGCACATATCCGGTCCTGGGGGGCTCTGGTTTCCTGTCCCCATGGCCCTGCATTGCCTCAGTGAATGCACTATTGCCTAACTGGACGAGTTGAGGCCTTTCCTTTTTGTTAAAAAGCAGGAGAGTTAAAAAGAGCCATAATCCCAGCGGGACAGCAGGCCTTGAGGCGTGGGGTCAGGCTCCCCTGACGGGCGCAGTCCCCCGCCGCCGTGGCAACTGCTGGTGTCCTCTCTTGGCCCTTGGCCAGCCGTGACGTGTGTGGGGAGAGGGGACCCCTGGGCGGTTGTGAAGCCCCCCCGCCGTTCCCGCGTTTCAGCTTCCAGAGACGGTTCGCAGAGAGGGGTGCGCTACGGGGGCGGCAGGAGGGGGCTCCCCTCTGGCGAGCCCGGCCTCTGTGTGGTGCACGGAGAGGCCGAAGAGCCCTTGATGATGAGTGATGAGCAGAGACCAGGCGTCGCACGCAGAGGAAATGGACCCAGTCATGCCGCAGAATCGCCCTGCCCTGCCCTTCAGGGAGAGAAAAAGCCGCGAAAGTGTGGGGGCTCTGTGTTCTCTCTGCTGGCTGCTTCTCTCCTGTGCAGGCGTGGTGTTTCCCCATGCAGCTTCGTGTCTGACACGAATGAGGAGAAACGGGGATGAGGACAGTAGATGTGAGGGAGGTTCTTTCTGACGCTGCCCTCCTGGTGGCGGGAGGGGTTATTCTCGAACCGCAGGTGCGCAGCTCCAGGCCTCAAGGGTCAAAACCCAGCAGGTGTTTTAGGCCTGTTTGAACCCTCAACAGCTGGAAGGAGTCAGCGGGTCCGTGGAAGCTACTGTCTCTGTGAGGTCGTGAAGAGCAGGGTGGATCCTGCAGACTCTACGGCCCCCAGGGCTGCAGTCGTGCTCCAGTGGTTTGAACCCGTGGCTGGAGTGGCTCAGCTCTGGTTCCGCCCCGAGTGGAGCCGAGCTGCAGGGGTAGGAATGCTGTCCGGGGTCGTCTGAGGGACGGGCTGGATCTCCTCCCTGAGCCGAGAGTGCAGGTAGTTAGTCTCGTGCCGGGTCAGTTATCCCACACGCAGCTGGAGCGGTCGGCTCATGTACAGCGCTGGGGATGTGACGTCTGTCCTGCTGCACCCTGAATCGCCTCTTTCTTTGGCTGGACAGGCATGGAATAAAATTAACAGCATAGTGTAGTTTAATAGGCAGCATTTCTTATTCTTCAGAACCTTGTTTCAGAAGCAGGGTAACAGCACTTACAGTACATCTGCGAGTGTGTGTGTTTGTATTAAGCTTGACTCTACACCTAGGTGGTGAGCAACACTGCTTTAGACAGGATCATTTTTTGCAATCTCTTTTATACCCATGAAACTGTAGTGACAGCTTCAAACTGCATCATCCTGGGTAAAGATTCCCATTTCACTGCACGATTCCTTGTGCAGGATGCCTGCACAGCATGCTGGCTAGCTCTCTTCCTGCAAATGGCAGAGGCTTTGATATTTCACCCTGCGAGATGACAAAGCAGGCCATAGTCATAATTTACGTCCATCTCGCTATCTGCAACATGGATAGAAGATCCGTTTCCTAGCAACAGGAGAGAGACGTGCGCAGTAACGGCGTTCTGCCCACAGGAGATTGGGAGCGGTGCTTCAGTGTTATAATAAGCGTGGAAGGAATTTGATTCCTTCTGCTGATGCTGAATACATTCTTACAGAATTTATTAGCTGTAACGCCATGTGAAAAATAGAACAAACTCCTGTTTTTAAGGGTATTCAGTTTCCAATGAGGTGTAATGGCCTCACTTACTCAGCCTGTAATTACCTTCAGTGTGCGAAGCTCATAGCAGGCAGGAAAGTGATGCATATTTACTGTGACTACGCTCAACAGCTAAGCAGCTGAGCAACACTGTTGTTATTTCTGAGCAACGGGCCTTATCCAGGGTGACTTCTCTAATCTGGAAACAAATCAGTACTGGTGTATGCATTGCACGAGTCACGCAATTAAACGTGCCAAAGTCCATAAAAGCCATCGCTGCCACTCAGAGAAGTGAGAGCTCAGAAAGAGAAAAGTGCCAAATGGGATTGGGGGGGCGGGGAAGAGAGGCGGGGCCAGCTGAAAATGCAGGATGGGCGCCAAGCAGCGCGGCGCACAAACGGCAAGGCTGGCTGCTGGTTAGCAGAAGTGCAGGCGTAAGCCCACAGCGCCTAGTGGGAAGATCGGCAGCTGGTCTCCAGGCTCAGGCTCTCTGGAGAGCGCGTGTTCCCGATGCCAGCTCGGCACCGGCCCAGGCGCATTTGTACCAGCCCTGCGCCTGTTATTCGTGCTTGAGCTGCAGGGCTTGCTTGCACTGAAAAAGGAAACCCGACAGAAAAAAAAATCAGCTGGCCTGGAGGCTATGAATAACTCCCTTTTAAGGGAACTAGAGTTTTTTTTATCCTACAACAAGGAAAGCCCTTTGCCTGCTTTCTGGGGTTATTTAAGTTCCTTAAGGGAGTCGGCCCATATTTGTGTCTTGAGCATCAAAACCGGTATGGGTTGCATTTGGCAAATGTTTGGAGCTAGATGTAGGAGAGTCTGCAAGCAGGAAGTGGTACTTCAATTTACATGCTTCACCGGGTTCCTTCCCCGACTGGAGCTGCTTGCGCTGGAAGAGCCAGGAGAAATCTGAGATTGAGTATGGCCCAGCGCTTAGCACAGGCTAGCTCACACACAGGCACAAGTGTGAAGGAAGGAGGGGTGTGAGGATAATAATTTGGAGCAGGAAGTGTGTGAATTCCTGGAATACTGGTCAGTGAGGCAAAACAGGTTTTCTTGCCTCAGAGCAAACCAGTCTGATGAACCAATGATGTAGCCCTGCTGGGCCCCATGACATGCCTATTCCAGCAGATTCATTAAAGCGCGGTTTTTCCGAGGGGCAAGCTGAAGGAGAACTTCAAGCTCTGCGACGCAGACAACCCGTAAACATCTAGATGCAGCTCAGGGAGACCCGCCTCTCATTCCTGTCAGAGCCGTGTCCGGGCAAGAGAGAGCTTATCTTGCCCTCAGACACGCTGTGATGGTTCTGTTGCCATGGACACAGAATCCGCTTTCCCAAATGAGCCAGGTGATGGGGTGTTGAAATAGGGGGGAGGACTTGGAGGAAATCTAGGCTTTTTTTTCCTTATTGCTTTCTAGGGGGTCAGAGTACATGTTTATGATGCTGTACTTTCAGCTGTAGCCCCTTCAGCCTTACATTGCTCTAGCTGCATTAAAGCAATCTCTGAAAGGCGCGAGATTAACACCCTTGAGGGGTTCCAAGCACTGCTGACACCTTCCCTGAGCTAGGTGAGGCACCCCGAAAGTATTGTGACCCAGCTGAATTTGTGCTAGCCCTTGGCTGGTTCCTCTCTCTTGTGTGCTGTTCAGAACATCCTGCACAGGCAGTCAAACACTGAACCCTGTGGGTCTTCTGTTTACCAGGTTCCTTAGTGGTTTGGCAGAATTGTCCATGAAGCCGATGGTGTCGGGAGTTCTAGTGGCAGGAGAACGGGGTGTGAGATCTGGTGTGGTCTTACTGATGCCCCTATCTCGTGCCCCCTGTCCCAGCCTGCCGTGCTGACTGTGTGCTTCTCTCCCCCTGGCTGCAGTGGGATCGACATGGCGGCTGTCCTGTTCAAGCTGGGCTTCAGCGAGGCGGTGGTCCAGTCCAAGATGGCGGCGGGCACCAGCACCTTCGTGCTGGCCTACGCCGTGCACAAGCTCTTCGCCCCCGTGCGCATCAGCGTCACGCTGGTGTCGGTGCCCTTCGTCGTGCGCTACTTCCGCAAGACCGGCCTCTTCAAGCCCCCGGCCTCCAGCCCCTGAGCGGCGCTCGGCCCCCCCGGCCCCCCGCTGCCCCTCCGCATCGCCACAGCACTGGAAAGTCCTGCCCAATCCCCCACCCCCCCCTCCTGCACTGGGACCCCTGCAGCATTCCGGTCACCCGTGGACGTCGCCCCAGCAGGTCCTGCACCTTTGAATACTGGTCGTTTGGGTCCTGGAGTGGCCTTTTCCACTGCTGCTCTCCCTGGGGGCTCCTTCCTGTCGGGCCTCCTGGGGGTTTTCACCAGCAGCTGCTCTCGCTGGCCTTTATTTTGCGGATGTTTTTAGTTAGGAGCTGCTATCGGCGAAGCCTGCGCAAATCACTGAGCAACTGGGACGAGGGGAGCAGATGATGTCCTCTGTCTGCTGCACGCTCAGACGGACACGTTCCCTAGGCCCGTAGGGAGCCGTTTCGTTGGAAAAAAATAAGCTAAAAAAGAAGTTTCCCCCTCTCGGATGTTTCTCGCTACTCTTTGCTTAAATCGAACTGAAAAAGAGGAGCGGTTGACAGTTCACAATCCTGCTGTAAGCACTTGAATTAGCCTCCTCTTCTAGGCACTCTTGAGGGATTCACGACTGCTTAGAAAAAGTTCAAGCCTTGTGAGAGGTGTGGTACAAGCCTTGCATGAACAAGGCGTCAGGTAGGGTTTGTCTCCAAGAGACATGCTCATCGGGGAGAGTTCATGCACCCCTCAACAAGCCATAAACGCTTCGACACGACTGTCACACTAACTGGCCAAGCCTTAAGCTAACTGTGAGACGAGGCGGTGTGCGTAAGTATTCGTCTTAAAATTTGTTCCTCAATCAGTTTGGTGAGAGTTTCGTTTGTAAAGTGCTATTTCCTGACGCTGATCAGCTCAAAGCACTTCACAGAGTCCGTAACTGTTGATGGGCACTGGCAGGTAAAGTTAAAACATTAAGTACAACCACAGCTCACATTCTAAGTGTTTCTGGGGGTGAAGCAGGCTGTTGACCCCGGACTGTGACACAGTTACTTGCTGTAGTCCCGGGTGGTGTGAATTTTAAGGAGAGTGTTCTTAAGTGCACCGGTGGGGTCTTGTGCTTTGCAAAGTGCAAAAGGGGGGAGAAGGTGAGGCTCTTCTTGGTCATGAGATTGTCGCCTCAGGAACCATGTAATACTGATTCAGGATAAGAGCCCGTGTGTCCCAGGGACAGGAGCAGTCGGACCAGCAGTTTTAAAAGGGAGAAGGACATTTGAACCCCCCAGACTTACGCACACTCCCCCTCACATGAAAGAGGCCTGCAGGACTTTAATTGTGTTCAAACAATTCTCTTGCTTACTCACAGATATTTATGATTTTTGTAAATGAAGTGGGAATGATTTTTTTTTTCCCTCAGTGTAATTAAGTTGCTGTTTTTGTCACAGTTTGAATTGTACAAAATCACGTGATTCTTGGTGGATTTTAAAATTGTACAGTATTAATTTTCTGACTGGATTCAGTTGGCGTGAACAGTGGCATTTCCTCTCTAACCACTGTCTCCATTCCCTGCGACTCTTTCAACATCAGACATGGTGTAATATTTTGACAGTTTTTTTGTGCTGAAGTATTTAGCAATTGCAATTCCTTTTAGTGCAACATAAATGCTTCATCAATTTTTAACGTTGGACCTCTAGTTAAACAATAAAAAGCAATTACAAAAAAAATTACCAGTAGTGTTTCTTTCAGCAACTACGTTTTGAATTTTTAGTTGTACTGGACGGTGTGGGCCGAGGGGAATTTTGTATTGCAATGTACTGTCCAGTGTGATGCTGTGACAGACACTTCTGAGATCGCCTCTGCATGTGTGTGTGTGTGCTAGCAGCTCGTCTCAGGTAAGCTTCAGGACTTGTATGTGAGCAGGATTTTGCCAGCACTTGTTAAACATCTAAACATTAATTTAAGGCAGTGTGACAAATTCAACCCAGTGGATTTCCTCACAAGGAAGACTGTGTAGAGGACACAACCACCTGAACGATAAATTGTCGGCATGTACATTATAGAATTCATTTATAAACACTATCATTCAAAATTCATACGCCATCAACATGCAGTGTAGCTATGTAGTTTCTATTGCAGGGTTATAGAAGATTAACTTGGTCTGCTTGGAGGTCTTAACAGCGGCTCTTGCAGCATTTCCAGCTGTTCCCATCACTTGACTATGTGCACACGCTTTGAAACGTTTGCATAGTGAACGAGCCTAGGTTTTGCCTTGTATGCAACAAGTGTTAAAGCGCTCGCGTGTAAGCTAAGTTTGATATTGGCTTTTCGTGTTCTAAACGCCACGTCTTGACAAGGAAGCTGGAATGCTGTAGCAGCTCTCTACTGCTCTCTGCTGTTCCAACAGAGTAGTGCCGCCACTTGCACAACTCCGGCGTTCATAATAGGGATTTTTCTAAAATCATTTTCTCTTTCAGGATTCGCTGTTTTTTTTTTGTTTTTTTTTTTCCTCCGAAAAATGTTGGAGGAAAGCCAGCGAGACTGAATTTAGGCTCTGTTCTTTGACGAAACAGAACAGAAATCTCATAGGTGGGAAAGGAAGAGGTTAATTCCATAATGAAAACTGAAAAGCAAAACAAAAGCCTTAAAGTCTTTTTTCAAGGTAGAATCTTGCTTTTAACTTGCAGTCCAGCTCTCCGCCCGAACCTCTTGGATCTGTACTATTTACCTGAAAGAGCCATAATTGAACTGTTCTTGCCTCTGTATGGAAACAGTAAAATGCCCTCAGACATTTAGAAGCAATGACTTTCTTCAGTACTGCAGCTAACTTCTCCCTTTTTTTACAGTATTGTATATGATAAAAACGCACAGTCAACAATCTGGACTTTATAACTTGACTTTATATATGGTTTATACACGCACAATTTCCAGACCACCCATTCCCATTGTCTGTCTTACATAGAAATACAGGGAAAATTGTGTTGTTTTTTTCTGGTTTGGAACCTGACAGACGAAATGGATCTAAAAACACTTTTTTTTTAAAGAAATGTTGGAACAGTGCGAACAAGCATTTAAGCCAAAAAAACAACGTGCAAGTTATAGACAGCATTGAAAACCCTCTCATTCAAAAAATCTGAAAACGCCAAAAACCATACACATACATAGTGTTCTAGAGGAGATCCGATTATACAGAACTCATATATAGTATATACACAATTGAACAGTACTCAATTCCTAGGTTGTCTACTTTTGAAATGTTGTTTAAAGTGCAAATAAGCTTATTTATTCCTACGCTAAAAAATGCCGATCTCAAGATGGATGAGCTACGTCAGTTCAATACTGCGACCCCCTCCGATCCCCACCCTGCAGTAAAAAGAAAGATCATTGCACTTGAACATGAGAGGGGGCAGCAGCAAGCAGCATGTGGGGTAACACAGGACAGATGTTCACCTCAGCCGGGAAGAGGAGAGATGAGAGAGCTGTATGGAGATGTGACACAGGAGAACGACCTAAAACCTATGAGCACAGCCCCTTTAATGCACTGTGGTGAACCACTTGACGTGAGTTTTCAAGCACAAGTTCTATATCTATATCACAGTGTGTAGACCTACACATGTACAGGAAGAAATAGGGGTTCATCCCACATGGGAAACAAAAAAATGTTTGTTGTTGAGCTTTCTTCAGGTCACCACATGAGCCCTTATATGCCCACATACATGGCTGTTTGTGAGGGTAATTCTTAATATTAAGCCATTATTAGCCTGTCATTACATCCACTATCCAGCATTCAAGGTATTCTATATTCAAACCACAGAAGAAAGGTTAGCCCACAAGAAAAACAGTAAGAAGTGCTTGGCCTTCTTCTGGCAGTTCTAATGCAAACCTCAGCTGTGCTAAAGAATTTATGTCTTTGCTGTATGTTGCTGTATTGATTTTGGGGCTCGTGTCTACCAGCTTTGTGGTTTCTCCCTCATTTGTTATTTTAAGCCAGTCCATCTAGATTTTTCCAGTAGCTATGGGACACAGCTTCAAGAGGGGTGGCAGTGAGGGCTGCAGGGGCCACGAACCAAGTCTCACCCTGCTGGAGAGAACATCCAGGACAACATGCAGATTTTTCTTTTCATGCCGCTTTCAGAAAAGAAATGAAAACAGTCTGCAAGAAGAAGAGCTAGCCATGACGTCGATCGGTTTGAGAAACAACCTGAGGCTCGAGATCTCTGCCTGAAATCAGTGAAATCTTCTTCTGCCTTAAACACAAGGCCCTGGCTTTAGCCAAGCAAGTGTATGCACTACAAAAGGCCTGGGAGCTTTTGTTTTTTGGCAACAGCGTACAAAGCTTGCATTGCCCCAAGATGAAAAGGGGAAGGTTAAACCTCAAGGAAGGGGACAACGCGATGTACCCGCTACAGAACCATGTGATGTGACGTGGAGAAAAGGGCAGGATGCATAGAAAACAAACCAGAAAAGATCGCAGGAGTATTTAACCACACGTGCACGAACAGACAGCTGCTGCGTGTAGGGTTTACTGGGGATCAGGAGAGAGCCCTGCGCCCGACACTGAAGGAGAGAACGAGAGAGAGGAGTAAACGCTTCGTGTGGTGGAATGCAGTCATTCTGCTGGAGTTCACTCTCCCTCCCACTCCTGGTCTGGGCCAGGCCACTCTCTTCTCTCTCTCTCCTCTCTCTCCAGCTCCCCCACCCCCGTCTAGCAGCCGAAGGTCTCCTGCGAGGCATACACCATGTAGAGGAAGCCATCCTCGTCCTTCTCCTGCTCGTAGATCTCCGCGATGGGCGTGGAGACGCTGACCATGCTGTGCTGGTTCACCAGGAGGAAGAAGGCCTGTGTGGGGTTGAGCTGGAGGCGGCGCCTGGAGGTCAGGAAAGACAGGAGGAGGGAAGAGGAGAAGAGACCTGACACAAACGCCACAGGAGACACAGCAGAGCTGAGGGACACGTCGCACCAGGAGTTTCCTTCTGCATACAGCTCTCCGCTATTTCTTTCACAGTATCTAGTTTAGATTGCTTACATAAGAAAATGAAATTGAGTTGAAATGGAATGCCTGGCAGACAGCTCGCAGACTTCCCTCTCCCAAAATTCAGAAACGGCGCCTATGGCTGAACTGGCTCATGGCTCAGCTGAATGAACTGCTCGTGAATAATCCAGCACAGGGACCAGGGTGCTGAAGGACCTTGTAGAGACCACCGGCGGTGAGGCCAGAACCATGGCCAAGCTTGCAGAGCTGTCACAGCAGCGACACCGCTGTGCGAAGCCCCTGCCAAGCACGCGCCAGCTGGGAGACTGCTGCCAGCACCCCGGAGGATGTTCACGGAGAGAGAGACTGGCGCCGCCGAGTGCCAAGGTCTTTTTCAAAACATGCGGTTCGACTGCCGCTGGGCTGCACGCTTTTCTTCTCCTGCTGTGTACCTCCTTCTTCATACTGCCGAAGCATTTCAAACACGGGCACAACCTCCCTTCTCTGAAAGCACAAACTTAAAGGTGTACTGGTCTCCAGTAAGTCATGGTACGTACACTCTGTGGAAGGCAGGGGGACAGCTTCTATAAATACTGAAGAGACAGGCTTTATTTTTAGGCAGAGTGCAGTTGAGTTCACCCTCTGCCGTTATCAGTGTGTCAGCCACTCTGGACAGGGGTGCAACAACGGACACTGTTAGGATTCTAGCAGAAGATGCACTGACACTCTTACAGATAAGTTGCGAGAGCTTTCCCACCTGATTTCTCAGCCTTCCTGACCAGAGGAAACACCGCCTGAACACAGACACAGAGTGGTCTTTTTAAAAGGGCCTCTGCTTGCTCTTCTGGGGCTCAACAGGCTGAGCCAGCACCAAGGTGCAAGGTTACAACAAACCACCTGAGGTTTAGTTTATTCCTTATCCTTGCTCCTTAGGCTACTGATCGAATAAAGTCAGCTGGATACGGGAGGACTGAAGTTAGGAGCCCCTGTGTGGAAGTAAGAGCTGACTGATCTTACCGGATGATCTTCACCAGCTCGCTCATATTGACATGATCGGGCACCAGGAATTTAGTTTTGTCCAAGACGGGCAACTGCTTCTCCCCCTTGTACCTCTCGATGATCACCTACAGGGCGACACGGAATAAACAGGTTTAAGGAACATACAATAATTCCTTAACACTACAGAGCACAACTGGTGGTGTCATTTCAATTGACCAGCCGCAAGGGAGAGTGTAGAATCGTGCTACTTCAGTGGATTAGCAATGTGTCGAAAGGAAAGCCTAACACTCCATCGAGATTGGTAGCTTGATTAAAATCTACTGCATTGCAACAGGCACAGGCCTTGGAAAGAGCTGGTGTCATTGATGAATACTTATTAGGATTGGTAAAATGAATTATGAAGCTAGCAATGAATAACTTTATTGCCTTGGACTCAGAACCACACTGTGCAGATATTACATCACCCTATTATCAGCAACACATTTGCTGCACTTCACCATCCACAACCCCTGTGCGTCTCAGACTGCTTTAATAAATGTCTTAGCTGCCGAAAAACACAGCTCCACAGTCTGGCAGCTTTTTTTTTAAAAACTGCAGACAGATTGTGTGCTGAAGGAAGTGTGGTTGTGTGAGAGATCAGAGAACCAGGCCAGGCCACAGGACGGCAGCAAAGGACGTCCCAGCTGTGGACAGAGCGACCCCGGGTAACAAGGTCTGGCACATACCCCAGGGAATACTGCTGTGAGCTGTAAGTGAACACTGTGAGCATGTCTCATGGGATCTCATTAATCACAGCCACAGCTTGCAAAACAAAAACACTTCATGGACCACGCACGGCCTGTACACGATGAACAAATCAGCTTTTCCCTTAGCATGGTATATGATTATCGAAGTGCTTTTTGTTCCTGTCCAAGACGAGGTGGTATATTGCTGTAAAGACTACATTACAACACAGGGGAAGATGCCGTTACAGCTTTGGGTGACTGAGAAGTGTCTCTTAGATTTTAGATGAAGTTTGTGACACTGGGAAGAGTGCTGATCGACTAAACTGCTCGGTCAATTCGTGATTTCCACCAGTTTCTACCCCCCCGTTTGTAACAATGCCTTTTGTTATTTTTTTCCCCTTTGAAATAAAAAATCAATGTTTGAGCTTTGACAGTACATACATCATTTACTAGAAGCTTCTAGAAAAAATGTTTTTTTTTAAAATATATATATATACAAATCCTTTAAATAGAATAATGTCCAAGTTAGGGAGCGAACTCTGAGAAGAAAAGCTTATGGCCTCAGTCCTCTAAAACACTCATGATGATCCAGCTGTATTAGAGCAACTAGATTTTAGAAGAGCCCATTTTAAAAAGCAGTGAGGTGTTTGAGGGGCTCTGAGTGTGGTTTGAGTGTCGTGTTAGTCTGAACTGCTCTACGGAGGCAGAGTGAGAAAGCTGGGAGAGTCTGGGAAGACAGTGGCGCCACCCTGCCCCGGGATGACCAGAAGATGTGGGAGGGGCGTGGAGCTGGTTTCCGTCTGTTTATCACTGTGTTTTACACCAGACTCTCTGGAGCTGGGAGGAGCCCAGGGGACAGGCTGCTCAATGCTAAGCACATCTCTTACAGAACCATTTCAGAGGTAATGCATTGGGATCAAAACTGTGGCAGCCCTGCTGTGGTCTTCACAACCACCAGAGCTTTTGTAGACCCACATTAGGGATCTAAGAGAATGGCAGTCCGGAACTCTTTAATCAGATTGCATGTGCTATATTATAGCTGCAGCAATTTAATGCTGTGAACCAGGATAATAGCACAGTAAATGCTGCAAAGTGCACAGTAAGGTACAGTGAAGCCACAGTAGGATTTAAAGGATTTAAACCAGGATTTAAAGCCCAAGCTGTGTCACGTAGATGAAGTCCAGCTCCAGGGAGGATTAATGTCATAATGTCACAGTAAAAACAGTCAAGTTTAAGTTATGCAATTACATGGTACAAGAGCAGTTTCGCAATCGCAAGAGAAACCTGCAAAACTAAATTGCAGATCTATTTTAGCAAACACTGGAGAGGGTGAAAAATACGTCTTGCACAATATTTAACCAGGGAAGCGCCACAGAGGGCAAGAGCTGTAGGGGAAAGAGCTGAAGAGCAGGTGAAATGACAACAAGCAGAATTCAACCCCATTTTGTCTCTGTACTTTTCTCACTTGTTTTGGGGGATGTGATCCTACAACTGGGATTTAAAGCCCAAGCTGTGTCACGTAGACGAAGTCCAGCTCCAGGGAGGAATAATGTCATAATTAAGAGGCCCACCATTCTCTGCACAGAGCAGCAAACTGGAGTCCCCTGCTGAGATGGGTTTGTAGCCTACTTCCTTTCTCCCCTCATTCGCTTCATGCTTTTGCTAAAACCGGTATTAGTGTTTACTGGAGACTTACATTAATCTTAGTAGCACTTGAAGTGCTGGATGCTGGCTGTATTAAAGTACTGTATCATAGGGAGACAGACACCCTGAACATAAATACGCACACACTGCCGTGTGTTCCTGTGATCTCTGTTTATTATTAAAACAATAATTCCTCACTAAGGAACTGAAGTTTTAGAACACAACTTTCTGAAACACTTCAGCACGTGAAGCAAACTGGAGTTTTGTGTACTTTAGACATGGAGGCATCATATGCTTCATTTAGATCTTACACGTTTGTGCTGGCTAGAAAATATCATTTTAAATTAATCTACACCTCTTCTGAACCAGTTATCACGCCTGAGGACTATGCTACTGCAGGCAAATCTGCGCACGGTAAATGTCGGCTGCATATCATTTAGTACAATGATAGAATTTAAATAGAATAATGTCCAAGCAAGGGAGGGAACTCTGAAAAGATTTCTGATTCAACGGTGTCTTAGTGCAGGAGTCAGTAATCTACAAGGATCGGGAAGCAGTGCCTTACCGGAATTTTGTTGGGATGCTGCTCTCGGATCTGCTGTACCTCTTTGCAGCGGTCGGCTGGAATACAACAGGAGATAGAAGGAATATCTGTGGAGGCCTCACATACAGTACATGACACATACAGTACTAATAAACATGGTGAGCAGTCCACATTGATAACTGAGGCTCAGGGAGGGTGATCAACTCATGTACTATATCTAATATATAATCTGTTTCAATATAGATAATCAGGTGGTTTAAAAATATATTAAACAAAAAGGAGATATTATTTCAAGTTCTCTTTCTCCCTTCAAAGGCCTGTATCTTATAACTTTTAGAACAGGTGAGGCAGGGTATAATCTAGAACAGCAGGCTAATGCGAAGCTGTTTCTCCTGTCCTAGTAACTACCATTCTGCCAACTTTGGCTTTATTCCTGGGTGATCTGCTGTGATTGAAGCCCCACTACCTGGAGTGTTAACATGAAGCATCTTAACCCAGGAGTCCCAAATTCCTGGTGGGTCTGGTGTCTTTTGATTGTTCCAGACTGAGTGGTCAATTTGACAACTGACACCATTCTTTACAGTTAGACATATATACAATTCTTCTGCAAGTCTTTTGCAGTTGATAGTGTTCAACATTCACTTCATTCATTATACATTTACCACTGAAAGCCTGGTCAGATGTATTATAATTTTACACTTCAATAATTAGTTTACCTATGTAAACAGAGCTCAAGTGGAAGACAGACCTGAAAACACCAGGCTCTCCAGGAACTGAGTCTGAGATTCCTGATCTACACCAACACACCTCTGTTGGTTAATGCCAGATATCACACAGGCTGTAAGCCAGTGGAAGAAATCCTGCAAATGTTCATGCACGAGCACAGGAATGAGCTTGTTGTGCAAGCAGGAGGGTAGAATTTCAGACACACACAGTGACGTTCTCCTCTGATGGCATGATTGAGTGCACCAGTCCGGAGTCACGTGCACTGTGTCTTAAGACTCACTTGCCTCTCAGTGAGTCTACTACTATACCTAGCGGCTTTGTCATGAAGCAGGGGGGTCCCACTCCTCATGAATCAAAAACAAGAGCAAGCCTCGTGCCCTGCATTAACTCTCTAGTGCCCTCTGCCCTCCACTGCCCGCTCCAGAGGCTGTAAGCGGTGTGGCTCTCTGGGCAACCCCTGACCGGTGCAAGCAGACGTTCCCCAGCTCTGGGACACAACACTGCGCAGTCACAACTGAAGCCCAAGCGTGTTTCAAAACGATATTCAGCTGGCACTGCCCGCTTGTCAGGGGGAAAGGAAAACAGGAAAAGCTAGTCAGAGGCAGAGCCAGAAAGCGTAAACAGGCATCGCACGCAGCAGGGGTATATTAGAGCAGCAATTCTCAGGACACAGTCACACAACAGCTGCCCGAGGGCTCTGCAGCTCTCTTCCCCGTTTTTGTCCTTCGTCCCCTCCCCCTCACAGCCTGGCCAATCACAGGTGTATCTGTGCCCTCTGGTTACCAAGACTGTCACGGCTGACTGTCATGGCCACCCCTCTACAAGGGGAATGTGACCTCCTCCCATCTGGGCACCTAGATTCAACAGGAAGTCATCTTTTATACTGACATTTATTAACCTGTTATGGTTAACTGAGATATATATAAATTATAACTGACAGTCTATTTTACTTTATTTATATTTTCTTTCTCATCATACATTTATGTATCTTATTTGTTCATGTGTTCATGTTGTGTTTCATGTGTTATGTACTTTGAGGGAATGTAAAGACATTTCCCACCTGGGACAATAAAGTCAAGTAACACAGTCAGCTGACCTGTGTTAGCTACCGAAACGAGTTCAGCCAGGCAGTCTCTACATGCCCACAGATCCTCCTGATCAGAGTACACAGCTGTACACAGACGTGGCTGACCTTTGACCGCGAACACTAACACTGACAGCACAAAAATAAGCAGTGGGCAAATGAGAAAAATCAATTTTCTGCTACATAAACAGCACCAGGACTGGTCTAGGCCAGAGTTCCCACTCCGAGACAAAGGAACCTGCTATTGCAGCTGAGCTCTCTGTTTAATTAGTCCTTAACGAGGAACCAACAACTTGCTTGGTTAGAACCTTTGAAAGCTTTTCTTCTACTCAGTAGGTGGAGAACAAATGACTTAAGAAAAAGCTGAAAGACAACCTCTAACTAAATATAATTAAAGAGCTCCAACGAAACCTATTAGGTTAGAACAGGCAGTCATCCTTAAAGATCAGCAAGGGGTCGGAGCGGAGAGTCCAGTCACACTGACTGAACTGCAGTTTTCCACCAGGAACAGGATAACCGGCAAAACTCCCCATTCTTTATTACAACACTCCCAAGCAGTGACCTCCCCTTCATCTGTGGATCACATTATAGTACAGTCTGACCACGGGACTTCACTGTGCATAATGACAGCGAAGAGGAGCTACAAGCACAAAGCCCCCCGAGAGGGCAAACAGGGGTAACTAGGGGTCGACCCCCGAAATCCCAATTTCCAAGTTGGGATGTCTGCTAGGGTCACGCCCACCAGGGGCGCAAATTACATCCTGGTCCTGGAGTTCTGTTCCAGTCGAGCTCATGGTCCCAGAACTGAGCCCTTCACCGATGGTATCAACACGGTTCACTTGAATCTCTGGATTGTTCTTCGGCTCTTAAACACCATGCTGGAGGGTGCTTTCTGCCCACTGCATTTCATGAGTGGAATAAGACACCACCCTTCCGAGTGGAGAAGAAATACCACGCATTCCAGCCGGGAAAGGTGTTGCTTCAACCAAGAACAGCTGGGCTAAAGAGCAGCAGGTGTCGTCTTCGCGTGCCAGGATCGGCAAGCCCTTCATTGTTCACACCCACCTGAGGCGGAGCCTGTACGAGTCTATTTAAAGTAAGGAGGGAGGGGCTTTTCTCTCCTTTACCAATTAGTTCCGTGTTGCTCCGATACCGGCTGTCAGCTACAAGTCCCTAATCGACAGGACGCCTTAAGGTAGAGGATGGTTTCCCCCCACAGCTTCTAAATGAAAACCTGTAAATTTAACCGAAGTTGTGTGCTAAATGAAATAGAATGCTTAATTATCCCTCAGCACTGTTGGATTATACCGTCATAAGAAAAAAAAATATTGACCCGTTTTTCTATTTGGAGGATTTCCTAAGCCTATTGCTCTTATTTTGCCCTTACCCATACTGCAATTTTTTCTGTCAAGCCCTGCATCCTCTTCATATGCACGGGTTCTTTGCAAGACATCCGTAATGAGGATCACCCTTTAACATTCTTGACCTGGGGTCAGCTGGCATTCGGAATCCAGCACGCACCGTCCCAAAGATGTTTACTGTAGTAAGAGTCCAAGCTTCGCGGAGGTGAGGGGGTGTGGTCCTGCCTGAAGACGGAGCCCGCCCGCCCCGGAGCTCCGCCCCCATCGCGCCGGAAACACGCGGGGCCGTCGGGTCGCCTTGAGACCTTCCTGTTGGGAGATTTCTGCAGACGAGCAGCTTTTCGTCTGGAAGCACATTGACGATCTCTCCGAGACGGGTAACATCCCGCGTTAACCTGCGTGGCTGCGCGGTACGGCGCTGTTTTTGGAGGTGCGCATTTTCACACAAGCCTGCCTTGATTCATTTTTAAGTGAAAAGGCGGGGGATACTCGCGGTAAGGCGTGCACGCTGAAGGCGACACAGGTTGTCGAACTGTTAAAGACACCTGTTGAATACTCTTAAGATGCGACATAACCGGGATTGCAGGTCAATATCCGCTTATTAGAAAATCCTGATTTATGAAATCAAGTCCGTAAAACTGAATCGCTTTTAACGTCCTAACAAGAATGGTGAAAACGTTCTTTGGGTTAATCTGATGTATGGTATGTCATATACGTAATACATTCCGATATAGAGAATGATTCCATTTTATGCAATTTGCTGTTTTTTTGCCACCATGTATCCGATCTGTATCTCATACGCGGACCCATATTAAACAGTGTATTATATGTAACTTCACTGTACCTCCCCATCTTCCCCACCGTGGGGTGCCGACCCCACTCCCGAAACCGGGTGCCCGTGACGCCAAGCACACTGTGACCTCGGACCACCCTGTGGCAGCGATACTACATCATCCAATTCTTTCGTGAAGAACCTGACATCAAAACCTGGTGCTGTTGGCCGCGTTATCCGAAGTGGTCTCGCACAGAGCGAGGTCCTGCAGTGCACCCAGCAAGCTGGTGTAATAATGGGACTTTAAAATCCTCCGTCCCTGAACACCAGAGCCCATAACTGAGGTTTGGTACGGATGCCAACTTGTTCGGTCCTGCCGGTATTCAACTAACGGATTCAAGAGCGGCGATGTGAACGCACGGCCTTCCGGATCGCTCCGCGTTTTTAATAAACTACACGGACGCGAGAAAAAAAACACCTTTCAACACGCTCACGCCCGCTTCACGTACACGGCAGAAAAACAACCCACCCAGTTCGGGCACAACAGAAGTGCCCGACAGGCCGTCTTTATGACGAGGTTTCTAGATTGTTGTTTTTTTTGTTTGGTAAACAAAAGACTGAGCGACACGACATCTGGTAATCAATGATAGTGGTGGTGGGGAATACATTGTCCTAATTTGCAAATAAACTGTTTATGACTTACCAAACGTCCTCCTTTGTTTGAAAGGTCTGTCGGAAGGCATTATTGTGAGGGATCAGTCCGGTTTAACGCCCGTCTCAAGCACAGATGACTGGACAACCTGGGGCTCGGATCTCTGTCTGCCCAGCTCGCTTTTGTGACAGTGTAGCGAGCCGAGCAGTATGACGTCAGCCGGAGACTTTTAAAGGGGAAGGAGCCGTGTTGTGGCGAGGGTGGAGGAGTGTTTAGCCGACAGAATCGGCTCGACGTGTTTCATGAATCCCTTTCATCCATTTTAGGTGCTCTCGTAGTACTTAATCATTTAATGGGGTTGGAGACAGAAATTTAAAAGGCAACAATAAGACCCGCAATGATGCCCCTTACTGATAACACTGCCCATGTTTGGTTTTTACACCCAGTTTATTGAAGTGTGACACGTTTAAACTTGACCTTTAGAGACGGGGTAGGTGGGAGTGTTGGACTAACTGATTGATTCATCCAGGGTATAGGCCTTGACCACGTGACCTCTTTCAATAAACACCTCGATAAAATCCCAGGATCCATTAACTACTAACTAGCAAAGAAGCTGTATGAGCTGAATGGCCTCCTGGTAAATTACCTTTTAGATATTCAAAACAAAAAACTGAGGTTGTTACTTTTATGCATTAAGGAGGCTTTTATTTGTTTTTAGTAGTTTTGTGTTGCAATTAAAATGTACACTTCTACTGGACATGTAGGCAAAGGAAAGCTGGTGGGGGGGGGGTACTGTAGGATCCCTCACTGGGTGTTCCTGATACAATCCTGGCTGTGAAAACTGAATCATTATTTCTGCTTGACATGCATTAAGTGTTGTGTAATCCAGAGGGCTGTGCTGATCAGTCTAATTCAGTGCAGAGAGTGCATGTACATACCAGGCCATTACAGGGCACGCAGAAAAACACTCACACTAGCAGCAGGTTTCTGGGCTGTGGGAGGAAACCCAAGCAAACATACAGACTCTTTGCACATATTGCCACCATGAGAAGTTTATTAGATGCTTTTAAATTGACACATGACTTTCTTAAATATATAGTATGGAACAAGTTCTGTAAAGGAAAAGGGTGCTTCATGGTCCAAAACACAGTAGGGGCAAGAGCCAAGATGAGTCTTTTCTGCACTCATCCAGTGGGTGGCTGTCTTTAGTCAGCTGAAGAAATCAAGAGATTTTAAACGGCCTTACATCGGAGGAAAAGCACTGTACACGTAGTGGAATCTACTCTTCCCAAAAGCCACAGTAAAAACCGTGTTGAGCTGCAGATGCCTTTTAAGCTCACAGGTGCAGGAAATGAATGGAAACAAATACAAATCAAATTCAAACACCCTCTGCAAGCCAGCTCCCTTTGGGGAAAACCACAGCTTTCCAACCCCTCAAGTTTTATTAAACTAAAAGATTGTTTAAATGTAAATAAGAACAAGTTCTACATTGATAACGTCTTTGAAAATATAGTGACCAGTTTTTGAGCAGGACAGTGCAGGATGCTTAATCATTAATGCTGCAGGCCTTCATGGAAGCAGTCCGGAATTAAACACAGGATCACACTGGACCTGGTCAGTCTTCACCCCTGCACTTCAGTGATTTTGTTTCCAACTCTTTAAAGCAGCAGCAGTTCCTAGCCTGTGCTTTCTGCTGCATGTGCATGGAGAATACATTCTCTTTCATTGTATAGTTATGATGTATAGCTTGGGAACCAGAGGAATGGAGCTGCAGTAAAGGTTTACTTCTTATTGCACTGAATTACACTCTTTGCACAAAATGAATACTTGTGATGAAACTAATTTATGCTTTTTTCTCCAAGATAAACCTAGAACAATTTATCCGACACTGGCACAGTTCTCGACATACACCATTTGGCCTTGTAAATAAAAAAAAATAACTTAATAAAAGGAATAGGTCTTCTTATTCTGTAGGATTCTGGACGACAATGAGGAAGTATTCTTTATCTGTCAAAAGGAAAAAACAAAGATTATCATTTTACTGAACATTGCAAAACAAGCTTAAAATATTATTGCCTTAAAGCACTCCCAATGACCCCCTGCATGACATAAGGGCGGAGTGGTGGCTCTGTGGCTAAGGATCTGCGCCTGTGGCTGGGAGGTTGCCGGTTCAAATCCCGCGGCCGGCAGAGGAATCCTACTCCGTTGGGCCTGTGCGCGGGGCTTTTCCCTCTCTGTTCTCGGGGGGCGGTGTAGTGTGGGAGCCTGTGCTCTGTGCCCCCGCTTTTCTCTCTGTGTGTGTTTTTCTGTGGAGAAGGCTGTGGTGTGTGTGAAGAGACATTTTTCATGTGCGAGATTTTGTACATTTTACATGTGACATTTTAAAAAACATTTTTAAAAAAAGTTTGGTTTTGTTTTTAACTATTTCTAATGTCCAGTCTGTTTCTGCTCATTTTGCTGCTTTTCTGTTTGCACAGAGAGTGAGGACCTGCCTACCTGCCAGAGCTGAAACCTCTGTGAGAATCACCTGGGAGGTCACAGGGCTCTCCTGCCTGAATAACGCCCTCTCTATCCTGGCCACGCTCTGCCTGCGTGCAGCTGGCCCTCGTCCGGCTCGGACAAGGGGCTCGATCTGCACTCTGGGTGAGAGAGCCCTCAGGCTGAGCTACGCTAATACCTGTCTGCTGCTCCTGCTCGCACCCCCACAGTGGTCAGTGAGCAGGACGCTGGGCGAGGAATTTTACACATCAGCGTGCGTGGAGCATAGAAACACAAAAAACAGCTACTAACATAATGCAGTGAAGATTTATTTTTTCTGTTATTCCCTTCCTGTATCGTGATCCAACTGGCCACTAAACCCCACACAATTACAGGGTGCTTGTAGGGGGGGCCGATGAGCCCAGTTTTATAAATCTCAGCGAAGGCATGCACTGTATATAACTCCACATACTGCTGCACACGTCACCCAGCTCTTAAAATCAATCTAGCAATACAGATGCAAACAGCGATTGGACTAATAAATGTTTGTTTTTAAATGCTTTTGATCTGGTTACCTGGGGCGACCATGATTTCGTTTTTCTTGGAGCGGAGCCGGAGGAAGGTGAGGTCATTCTGGGGGTCGATGTCCCGCACGGTGCTCCGCGCTTTCATCACCAGCTGGTGGATGAGCCCCGAGTACTGCACGGTGGTGGAGTTGTCCAGCGTGGACTTGATGGGGATCCCTACCAGCAGGGGCAAGAGGGAGTGAGGTGGGGGATGCATGGCGCACGCCTTTCAAGTCCACCCATCTTCTAAGCTCTTTGTCCAGTTCAGGGCTGCAGGGGAGCTGGAGCCTATCGCAGCAAGCAAGGGGTGCAAGGCAGGGTACACCCTGGGTGGGACGTCAGTCCATCACAGGGTGCCCACACTCGCACCAGGGCCAGTTTTTCCAGAAGCCAATTAACCTGCCAGGATGTTTTTGGACTGTGGGAGTATACTGGGGGAAAAACCCCTGTGAACACGTAGGATATCAAACTTGGTCAGAAACCCACTGGGCACGTTTTGTGGCCCGCGTTTAAGAATAGTAAAAGCCTCCCCTGAAGCCCTAGCGTTCTCGGGCTCTGCCTCAGCCTGCAGGGACACGGGTGCGAGAGATGTGATGCTGAACGGCTCTCCAGGGGGGCCTGTCTGCCAGCCTCCACCCTCTCCAGGGCTCACGGCCCTAAAAACAACTGGCGATTCCCACTTGAGCAAGTCAAGAAAACAGACCCTTTTCTAAGTGCTTTCCGAAGTGTGGGGAGCTGAAGCCTATCCCAGCAGTGGCCACGAGGCAGGGTACACCCTGGACAGGACTCCAGTCCATCGTAGGGCAGACACACTCAAGCCAGGGCCAGTTTTCCCAGAAGCTAGTGAACATACGAGCATGTGGACTCGCCCAGAGGAAACCCACGCAAACCTGGGGAGAACATACAAACTCCACACAGACAGCACCCCAGGTCTGGAACCAAGCCCAGGACTCCGCCACCGCAAGGCAGCAATGCTGACCACTATGATACCTGTGCAGGTGGGCGCACGTACCTTCTGCATTAACGATGATGATCCCCTGGACACCCTTCTGACTTTGAATCCTCTTCAAGGTTTCCTCCACTTCAGCCTGCAAGACACGCCCGTGATCAGTATCGACCGTCACATCAAACACCGTGAGCAGCAGCTTATCTAGTCTGAGGCAGGGTTGCCAACGCAGGAGAAACAGACGCTGTAAGCTTGCAGTGCATCTTCAAAGCAGGCCAGGGGTCTTACACTGACCTGCCCACCTACTGAAACACAGGAATAGTTTTACACGGTCACAGAAGCTCCCGAGAAGAAAAGGGTCCAGATCGGCCAAGCTTCAGCCTAACCGTACAGTTCAACAAAGGCAACTGATTTGAACGAGCTACACTGTTCGAGGTAGTGCTGTCACACCTCACACCACGGCACCGCTACGCTGTCCAAGCAAACGTACAGTACTCCTACTCCTACTCATTTAAGCGGAATTTCTATAATTTGACATTCATATAATCAGTTCAGTGAACTGAAACAGTTAAATGCAGCTTATCCGTGCCCTGTCAACGCAGAACACAGTTAAGTTACCAGGTACAAAAAGAACAACGCCCCACTGTGCCATGAAATCCCAAATACAAAAACATTCGCCGTTCGCTGATCAGGCAATGCACTCAGCTCTAAATATTGGCAGAAAACATGCTGATAGAACGATTTAACTTGTATATAATCACCATTTTGGAACTGGACTGCTGTTGTTATTCCAATCCGCGATGCGGCTTCCTAGCAGCAGCGAAACACACAACACAGGCAACCGGACATGCGCAACCCCGGAACTGACGTCATAACGGATGGGCTGACTTGATGCTACATATCGCGATATTTTCGCTTCCTGCCCAAGTTGGATAAAAGGGGAAGTCAGCTGGCCTGTTCCTCCTGCCAACCCCGAACTAGCCACAAGGGGGAGACATAGTGTTGCGGATAATATTTCACGGTAGACTGTACGCAAAGGACCAATTCGCGTAAAACAGACACTTTATTATGTCTGTATTAACATAGACAACTCGCATCGTATTTAAACCGAAGCGTTTACTCAGTTATGCCATGGAGATATGGTCTCACAACAGGATGTACAGATTCACTATTAGCACCCAAGCAGAAAGTAATCAGAAACAGTGTTTGGCCTTATCGTAGATGCAAGAGAGGAATTCATCAAGCTTTCTGCATTCTAGATACTATCAAACCAGGCTACTACTACGTTGAGGTGATGCTCTTTTTTTCCAAGAGAAGATATCAATACAAAATAATATTATCCCCACAGGTTTATTAGACTACCCTACACCTTCATTATGCGCTCAGATATTGGGAAAGCCTGTGTTTCGTAACGGGAGCTCTGGTGCTCTGGTTGGTTGCAAAAAGAAGATTTTGTTGGACCTGAAGAGCTACATTATTTTTCAGTAATGGCCTGAATCCAGCTGTTCTCTGCAGAGCAGGCCATCTGGCAGAGAGGTACGCTCCAGTGGCAGACAGACAGGAAATGGGGAGATTAAATTAATTTTGTGTCTCTGCTCCTGAGAGGGAACAGAGCTACCAGGACTGACCCTGCGCCTCAAGGGAGAGCCCGTGGCGTGGTGTCCTCGCAGACACCAGAGTTCAACCATAACAAACTGGCCATGCAGAGACACTCTTGCAAGGAGATGTTCTTTTAGGGTGAGGCCTGTATGGAGATACAAAGTGACCTTTTGAGCAGCCATTGAAATACTGAAATCGCTGAGCAGTTCAACTCCTTGGTCTTACCGTTCATGCATCTGTGTGAAGTTCTTATTACCTTATTGTCAGCTGAAGCAGAGAGGTGGAGAAAATCTGTTTCACGTTTTCAGAAATATAATTTACCAAACATGAAAGCGTTTTTAAACAGACTCAAACGACACAGCGGTTTGTTTGACAGTGATTTCTGCAGAATAAAGTTCTAGTGCTGAAAACATGTATGAAAAGTACATTCTGTCCAAACTAAACTGAGTAAGCCGGTGTATTTTCTTTCAATACAGGTTAGGACTGGGGTGAATACTTTGGGGCCAAGCATTCTTGACATTGCTGAAGCACAGGGTTTTAATAACAGCTGCAGCCCATTAAGAAACTCACAGAGACGTGACAATGGGGCAAAGAGAGGTTTACTAAAAGCCATGTGCTCTGTCAATGAGCAAGCAGCCCTTGAGTTGTACCCACAGTGCTAATGAGGGTCAGCCCATTGTTAGGGCAGGCAGGGTACAGTCTTGTGAACGGACTGTACCACTATTGAGTCACCGGGGGGGTTCGGAACTGAGCCACTGGATTATTGGCATAGAGGTGCTCTAGAGGAAAAAAACAAGTCATGTGCATTGTTGTAGGTCAGGGTTAGAATGTAAGCAATGATAAGAGCAGGCCATTAAAGCCATCACGGGTGGCTTGTGTAAGATTCCAGCGTGTTGTATCTCTCAGTATGGGGCTGGATATTTTCTGTGCATTGCCTATCTGAAACAGTATACTAATATACTAAGAAAAGGCAACATAATAACTCTTACTTTGCCATTTGTACTCCCACTTTCTACCTGATGAGTGTGGTTGCATGTGGAGGGCTGAGCAGAGCGGTTTCCAAGTCAGAATGCGTACATGGGGAAATACCCTGATCTGCTGGGGAGGAGGAGGTACCGGAAAATATTTGTGCCTGTGGAGTGTCAGACGACAGCGAGCAGACGAGAGCTGGAGTCTGTCAGCCTGGCCTGGACAGCTGTCTCTGCTCCCATTACAGCCCTGCCTGCTATCTCTCCCTGAGGAATTTATTGCTTGGCAAGAACTCTGGGGATTAGAAAAAGTTACAGCTGCACAAAGCACATTCTTAATAGCTTCTTCTCACCAGGAGACCACTGTTGTCCGGGTACTGTCTATTTTGCATTTCTAGCCCTGTGTGGGAGGCCTGTTCATGAAGGTGGAGAGGTCCTCTACTGCTAGACAGCAAGGTCACTAGCTACACGTTCCCCTGGCCAGCTGGGAACACAAACAGGGATTTGGGTTTTCAGTAAAACTTTGCTTATTGATTTTTTTCTTGCATGCAAAAAGGATGAGCAGACAAAAACAACTGAAGAAAACATGTTACGGGAAAAGACAAAAATACAAAAGGGCAGATGCAGAAAAGGTACAGATGGAAAAGACTTACCCAAATTTCCATTGATCTGTTAAAGCCATAACAAAGACCAGTCAAGTGACTCAGACTCCAGAGTGCAGGGGCTCTTATACTGAACAGGTCTTTGTACACTCATTCCTTCTGAAGTCCACCCTCCAAGTTCTGTCACAGCTCAGTGACGGACAGGTGTCAGTCAGAGTAGATTGACTCACAGCTCCACTGTGGTGTGTGGGACTCATCCACCACTGGAATTCAGGTGCCTCTCAGCCCCACCAACAGTGGAGCAGTCTGCCACACCTAAAGACCAGCCCAGCGTCTCAGAACATGCCCATCTGGGCAGCAAATAGTAGCCATTCTGCACCAGCAGACCCACCTTGGAGACGCACAGTGATCATTCTGCACCAGCAGCCCCACCTAAGAGACGCACAGTGACCGTTCTGCACCAGCGGCCCCACCTGGGAGAAGCACAGTGATCGTTCTGCACCTGCAACCCCAAGACAAAGCGAATCAGCGGGAGGAGTGAGAAATGACTGCACCAGTCGAATTAAGGGGGAACTTCAGGGAAGCCAATTTACTCAGGATATCAGGGTTTACACCCCTAATTCTTAGGGACACCCCCAGAGGACTCTTAATGACCAAGTAGTCAGGACCTCAGGGTTAGTAACCCTGGTTTCACGAACTCTGGAGATCGAACATAACCTTTCTGAAATTTAGCACAAATCTAAATTGCAGTATTTGTTCTTGATGAATCATTAGCTCAATGCTAGAATTGGTCTGGTCAGACTGGAACTTGATTCATTTCAATCTCATTGATCCTGTCCTCTACTCACTATAGTCTTATTTCCTCATCAGAAAATAACCAAACACAAATTTCTTTGTTATTTCTATTTACTTTCTATTTTATTTCTTTGAGTTCTATTTACTTGCCTGTTTTTTTTTAAAGAGAGACCCATGATTTTCCCAGAGGCTTACTGTAGCTGTTTTGAAATCCTTATCCTCTTTAGGAACAAAAACTACATCCTTTGTGCCAGAACTTCCTGACCTTTAGCACACGTCTTTTCTTCACAATGTTTTCTTTCCCTCTCAACACCGGATATCTCATTTCTTGTAATCTTCACACTGCACTACAACAATAACTCATTGGTAGAATCAATAAACTGTTAGAAAACTGTATGTAGAGTATATGTAGATACAGTTTTGGATGTGTGTTGATGCCAACAATATTGCTCACTAATTTATTAAAATAAATTAGCATAAAGTATCCTGTTGTTTCTCTTCTAAGTCTGTTGAACACACATTCCTCACAGAAAAGGGCAGTTTAAATGTATAGTTAATTTGTTTATGATCCACAACTCCCTCCACCCCCCACAACTATGTTGTGGGATATGTAGAAAAGAACAGATGAAAAAAAAGACAAAACAATGTAAGGCAAAACTGTGACGCAGTGGAGTTTATATGTTCACCCTGTGTTTGTGTGGGTTTCCTCCAGGTGCTCTGGTTTCCTCCCGCAGTCCAAAGACATACTGGTAGGCTAATTGGCTTCTGTGTCTGTGTCTGTGTCTGTGTGTGTGTGTCTCTCTCTCTCTGTGTGTGTGTGTGCTCTGTATCTCATCCAGGGTGAACCCTGCCTTATGCCTGCTGTTTACCAGGATAGGCTCCAGCTCTCCTGCAGACCCGAATTGGATAAAGTGGTTAGGAAACGGATGGATAAAACAATTTTCTTTATTTTTAGCAGTGTTGGATGAATCCTCACCTGTTCAATTGCGGAACGTCACTCTGTCACCTTTCTACTGTTGTTTTACCTGTCTCTGCTGCTACACCAGCAGTCCATGGAGTTCACACAGCACCCAGAGGTGTTCAGCTTAAAGACGTTCGGTTGCGTGTATTTGGGTGAAAGCACTCTGGCGTTTTTTCCAACTTCAGTCTCCAAACGTTGACTTTGCTCAGCTGATTCA